CAAACCCCACACCAAAAATAGTGCCGACATATATCGAGCACAAAAACATTATTCATGTTTGGCTCGTTTGTATAGCGAGTCGAACACAAGTTATTCGCGAACGAGCAGTTTTGACAGCCGTAGTCATGCAGTCGAAGGATGTTATAAGTAAAAGCGAGATTTAAATCTTATTATTTATATTAAAATATTCATTCAAATAGAATTTAACACATTATTATTCTATTTCTTTAATTGATAAATTTAATTGAACATAAACCTTTGTAGCCTTGTATTTAAGTAAATTATTTAAGAATAATACCCATCAATTACACACACACACACACGTGTGTAATATAATTATTTTGAGACAAAAACGAACTAAACTCAAACAAACAAATCTTTGTTTGTGTTCGGTTTGTTTATATATCAAGCATAAAAATATTTATTTTTGGTTCATTTGCTTAGGCCAATGAATCAAACACGAGCTACTTAATGAGTCAAATACTAGGGCATTTACATTCATATCACTTAATTCCAATATATTTACATGTCTAAAACCTAAATTTTACTTTTTACTTTTACATTCCCAAAATTTTCATATCACATAAAAAACATAACTATTCTAAACTTTAGAAAGCAAAACACATCTTTTTTCATTTACATAAGAGTTGAAGTTTAGCTGTTAGAAACATAAATTCATAAGAATTAAGTGATATGTACGTAAATCTTCCTAAAAGTAAAATATAAACTGCTGAAAACAAGATTAAATGCGAAAATAGAAAAAAGTCCATTGTTCTACCCTGTATATTCGCTGCCATAACATGTGGCTAAAGGTCAGCCCCAAGTAAACAGCTTCAGCATCTGGACCTCTTTTGGCCTTGAGCCGTTGCGTAAAGCTCAACTAAAACTCCTTGATTCCAGGAGTCTAAAATCATTTTTTCCCAAAAAAGAGAGGAAAACAATGAAGGAAACTAGAGACAGAAAGACAATATCATCTTCCTCTCCTCCTCGAACAACAAGCAAAAAACCAGCCATTACAGCTGACTTGTGATCCGTGAGCTCTTTGCAGCTAATGGGCGACGGAAGGCCTGCATTAGACACGTCCATCCGTCTGACGGCGGTGGCCGTCCACAAGGATAAGAACAGCCAGCATGCTGTGAAATGGGCTGTTGAAAATCTGATGAGCACGACGACCATTGTGCTCATCCATGTCAGGAACAAATCCGCTAGTAGGTACCCTTCCTCTTAATTTCATTTTGCAGCTGAAACTAATCACAATTGATGATGTATTTCAATTAACATGAAGGTTACAATGTTCATGTGTGGGATGAGAGAAATTGTTGAGGATTTAATAATGAAAAGGAAGATTTGCATTCATACCAATCCGTTGTTATATGAAATCTAGGGCGAAGAAAAACAGGAATCGACACAAAACCAGAAGAGCACACAGAGATTTAACGAAGTTCGGCAAAGATGCCTACATCCTCGGGAGCAGAGCGGCGAATTCACTATTTCAGAGAAATTACATACTCATAGGGTTACACATCTATTTATAGATAAAACCGACAGATAAATTTACAAATACACCCTCGCTCCCCCCAACCCACTAATCCCAGAGACATCTCTTCACACCAAGAGACATTCATTTTCATTCCATGAGACACATCTCTTCATTTCAAAATACTCCAGATTTCCTAGTATATGAGTTATACCTAACAATTCTCCATCTTAGCGAATATTCAACCTCTTAGGAGAAATACATCATGGAGTTTCTTACACCGAAGTGGGTTGGGCAACTATGCCAACTAGCAACTGCAAACATTCAACAAGTTCAAGTAACGCAAGAACTTGTTGAAAATACCTGACTTGGTCAACTTTCCTGTTGCATTTTCATCATATGATCCAACAGAGTGAACTCAACCTACAACTGTACTCTCCAACAGTTTATAGATATTACCATCCAATTGTATAGCTTGCAATGTTTTCAAAATTTCTTATTGTGCCAACAAATTTTTCACGCTTGTTTGTCACAAGCTGAAGTTTCATGTTTCATCAAACTTCATTATCTCGAATTTTGCACCAAACATTGTCATTTGAAATTAATCCTGCAGTGAACTTTTCTTGTCTTGTATTGAAATAAAACACACCACAAATAAATTCAAATAAATATGAAATTTCTTCTGTCAATTGCAGCAATTTTCCCGCAGTTTCTTGTGATTCGTGAATCAAATTTTTCACACGAAGCACATTTCCTATTCTCACAAAATTTCGGTTGAAATACTGCGGACACCAGCCAAACTTCATCTGTCACAATTTCTCATGCGACAAATCTACGAACAATCAACGAAATTCGCGAACTCCACCTATCACAATTTCTCCTACGACAAACCTGCGAACTCGGTTGACTGAACACCACCTGTCGCAACTGCACCTGACACAACTCCTGCGACAAATTTGTGAACCCCGCTTGATTGCCTTTTCTCCTTCTCGCTGCAGCACTCTCGCGCAAACTTGCTGCCTCCAACAAGTTTGTTTCTTCAATGCAGCAGATGAATTCGCTCCCAGGCTCTTCCTTTCTTCGGCCTCTCAGCAAAGGAAATCCAGAGGATCCCGAGGAATATTCCTCTAATAGACTCTAATAGAAATAAAAGATTCTCTTATTTCTTCCTTCCTTCCTTGGAAGGTTCCAGGCAGTTCCCAGAAAGATTTTTTTTCTTTCACGCCTCTGCGGCCCACGGGAAATCCCTTTCCCGCCTTCTTTCTCCAAGCAGTTCCCCAGATAAAATCGAACTACCTGTAACTAGCACTAACCGTCACTCCCCAGATAAAACCGAACTACCTGACACACATCCTCACACCAAGAGACACTCATTTTCATTACAGGAGGCACATCTCTTCATTTCAAGTTACTCTAAATTTCCTGGTATATGAGTCATACCTAATAGTTTGCATATCTTACGCCTAAAGTTATGTGTGTGTGTATATATATATATATATATATATTTTTTTATTTTTTTTTATTTTTTAGAAGGCAAATTCATTGATATAAAAAGGAGGATGCAAAGGTTTTAGTGAGTGGATATAAAGAGTCCACTCACAGGGATTACAACTTACTCAAAATGAGACATAAATCCCACGTAAACCCCAAAATTATAAAAAAGAAAAAAACTCTTAATCATGGTGTGTGTAGTCGGTGGATTTACCACTTCCCCTTCCCCTTGATCTAGGGAGAGAGTCCAGCAACATAACTGAGATGTGGGCTTCCACCCGAAACTATGAGACAGTCATCCTGAGAATTACTGAGTTATAGCATTCCTTTTTTCCTCTTCTTAGATTTGTAAATCTGTCAATCATCTGCCAGAGGTAGTCTCGTCTGATCAATAGGTGGATCTTCGATGGAGAGCTCACCCTAGGGGGTATGTTGATCCGTAAATTGTTGATCTGACTCAGCCTGCAACACACTTTGATCCTGGCACTTCTCCAGGACTTGAGTACCCTCGTCTCTCGCAATATGTAGTTCCAAGGCACTTCGTCTAGCATCTGTTACAACAAAATTTGTAGTATTTATGATCTGAGGAAGAACTGCCCAACAACAGTGGGAAAAAGCTGTTGATCTGGTTGGTGAAGAGTAGTCTGATGAGTCAAATTCTCATTCAATATTTCTGGAAGATTAACGGTTTCTACTATTTTTTCCTTCAGATGAATGATGTTTTTAGGACCTACCAATCTCAAATGTGAATGAAACCTGTAGCATTTGACAGGGGTGTGCCCAAACAGTTTACAGTGATTGCAGTAGTAGGGTCTTTGTTCTGCAACAATTAATTGTCAATACCCATTGTGGGCAGTACCAAACCATATTTCATCCACATCAGGGAGGGTGCTATCCCTTTCAACAATGATTCTTGCAACCGAAGGCCTGGATAAGTTGAAGATGGGTGTATCCAAATTCATAGGTCTCCTTAGAGCAGCTCCAATAGAATAGAGGACATGGTGATTGAAGTAGTGCAACTTTAGGCCAGGTAGTTTAAACCAGATTGGAACTATAGATGGTTCTTGGCTAGGGTCAATTTAAGGAGACCACTTGAGCAGTTTCATATGTTTCTCATCTATTGTCATAAACTTTTTGAAAAATATTTTTGCATAGTCTTACATTTTAGATAATTGTATCATCACATGTCTCTCATCAAAGAGGTCAACCTTCCAAAGTCCCAAAAGTTTGAGATCTTCAAAAGCCTTTCGAATGATTTCCATTTTAGGGTGTCCCGATTGAAACTTCTCAATGAGGGCGAATTTGCACATATCAACCAGATTGAAAACTTTAACATCATAAAAGAATAGAGCTAGTTTGCAGCTCTTCTTACTCGTCTTCTTGATGAGGTTGCAGTCCCCCTGGCCTTTGAATGATTCATGATAAACTTGAGAGAAAACCAGATGTGATCCCAAAGAGCCAACCATATCAACAAAAAAAGCCTTCCCAAAGTTTAAAATTGGAGTAGGTGGTTGAGAAGGAGCAGAAGCCATGGAACAGGGCAAGCTACAGGGACGATAGTCGCTCACGTACGTCAATGCTCAATCCTGAGTGGTCAAGCAAAAAGAGAGGGAGTCGAAACCGAGTCCACGCTCATACAGGGTTTCGCGGCAGTGACGAGAGAAACGCGTGAAATCCACTGTCGAAAGCGAAGAAGATGACGATAAGACGGCCGAAGAGGTCGGCCAAAAAACTAAGGTGACGGTGAAGCCGAAGGAAAAATCAAAGGCCATTGGTGGGGTGGAACCCTAGGACATAAACACTCCCGCATCATGACTTATATATATATATATAAACACCACCTGTCGCA